ACAAGTTTGTTTAATATCTTTTCATACCAAGTGAGCATACATTTATACGCCTGTAGTTCTCCGTTCACCGGTAGTGTGGGCTCCTATCAGGTATTTTGATGAATGGTGTACGTCTACTCTCAGACACCTTTCCAAAGTTCGATAATCTTCTATCAGTCTCTCTCTCTCTCAGGCACACAATAATATCCAGCTAACATCATTATGTGATGAATATTACATACAAATTCAGATTATATTAAATGTAGGTTTTTTTTTTACTGTCAAGTAGATAATAGTAAATTTTCTTAATTTCATAGTTTTCATTAATAAATATAGTAAGTTAATTAACAGGACAATTTTACAATGGATTATAAAAACTAATACACAACTTATGACGAAAACAGATTAATTTATGAGTTTTAATTTGAGATATTAATTACGATTGAATCTATCCTCATCTAGTAACTAGGGCTCAAAGAAAAGGTGTGAAAACGTGTTAGAATAAGTGAATGAATGAATGAATGAGTGAATGGACGAAATCGATATGACATTATTTTAAATCATTGTCATTTAGTAATTATATCTGACTCACATGTTCACACATGAAGTTGACATACTTACACATAACATGCACACATACACATACAATACATTGAATAATAATGATAATAACCTTATAGAGAACATTTATGAACATGATTATTTCTCATATTTGACACCATAATTTGTTTTAATCATTAATATTCTGAGTTCGATGATGCAATACTGAAATTTACATTGTTATTATTCAAATTGCTATTAGATAAGAATAATAGTCAATTGATATTAACTGTATGAGTTCTATTGTTTGATTCAGTAGTTAGTAACAAATATCATATTGCTTAACTGTTACAGATTCGAAATTTCATGCTAACACTTCTAGTTGTGACAGTTGAATCGCTACTGCTGATTGTTATTGATTAGTTCCATTGGTAAAAGGAAGTGCGTTTCATGTGCTTACTAACTTATTTGTTCACTTTTGCTCTCTTTCTTCACACACACACACTGCTGACCAAGCTCATTCCAGCACCGAAAATACCTTCAGACTAGATGTTAACTAATACTCTAATCTGTGGTGATGGCTGGTGTTTAATAATTATATTTTAAATTTAACTACTAAGAAGAACATTTTATATGAGCAATATACTTTGATTCATGTGAGATTATCCAAAGCCATTGAAAATAAGCCATGATTTTTAATTATTTGATTATGTGTGCATGTGAACAAGATATGGTCAACAATGTGAGAGATCTGTTTTTCTTTTATAGGAAATCATATTTGCTCAACATTTTTTTCAAGCTTTGAGTGACCTCTTGAAAGATTAAATAACACTTTTCTCTACTTAATTAGTTGTTAGTAGTGTTCAAAACCATTATGAGATTTTGAAGATCGTAATTACAATCTAACCTAATGAATATTTGAAGTCAGTCAACAGTCGCCACAAGAATAGAAATACAGCAGAATAATATACAACGATAGATGAAAGGTTAGTGTCATTCAGCAGTTTAGTAAATAACGTTTCAGGATTAAAAACAATTTGCGTATAGATTTTTAATCTTAGTGGAACGCAACAATAACAATAATGAACCGGTGTTTCAAAATATGTCCTTAAAAAAACAAACAAAACAATGCATTTTTAACTTGACTAATAGTCACTGTCTAATATAAACTATACAATAATACAGGTTGTATCAAAAAATTTGTTCAACAATTTCTTATGTTAAATAAGAAGGATTAACCAAAGAACAACCGAGAACCAAGGTACATTGGACAAAAATGATGATCATTAACTTAAACTAATCTTAAAAACTATTCCCAGTCAAACATTACTTGTATTCTGATTAGTGACTAACTTTGAGTTAGATTTTCACAGTTCTAGTGAAAATCCAGGATTTGTGAAACTCAATCATGACAAGAATGAACTATTTGCTCTATAGTTACATGATATCGACAATCGATTAAAATTTGAATTTCAAACGATTGTATACTAATTCAGAAGTCTTAAGTTTGATCTTAGATAAATTCATGAATCCAAACTACTTAAGACTTATCTACAATGACAAAACACATACCCTAATACTACCTGACCTTCATTGGTACCTTCATTGAGAACAAATATCTCTCATGAATATAACCTACACCTTTTATTTATTCATTATTCTTTATTCTATTCATTTCCTTTACATTACCAATACGTATTTATGCACGTATCTATGTATGCATACACATAGACGTATACATGTATACAAACAATTGCTTAACATTTAAATTTTATTTTCATGATTTCACTTGATAGAAATAATTTTACAAACTATTTACCAACACAAAAAATGATTTGTTCAGTTTCTTTCATGACTTCATTTTGTAGCCATTACTTTCGTTGTTTTTTTCTGGACTATTAAAACTAACTTGTTTTCTTCCTCATATTAATTAGGGAACTAAATAATTCGTTCAGAATGCTAAACTGTTATTATGGATTTTGTTAGGGTTGCTATAGTTTTAATAATTTTCAGACATTGATATATAATAAACAAAAGTGTTACATATATATATTCTTATTAATATTTACTAAAATAAAACTATTTCTTTATTCTCGACGATTTCCTACTATAGTTTACATGAAAAGTAATGATGATAGTCGGTTATAGCCAGAGTAACCTTGTTACAAACTGTTACACATAATACGGCTAATACTACTACGCTCCTCCCCTCCCACCTCCTCCTCCTCCTCTTCTTCTTCCTCTTCCTCCTCCTCCTCCTCTTACTACTACTAGTAATGATAATAATAAAGTTGATGTTTTGAAACAGGTGTTTCCATAAAAAGACAATTTTATCTTGCATGTAATTTCTTTTTTACAGTCCCACATACACACAATCGTGCCTGCTACATGATTGTTTGTAATTAAACATATCAAATGAAATAACATATTGTGAAGTCAATTTATTTTTATTCTTATTTCTGCCTTTAATTAGCTTAAAGTAATTAAATAGCCGATATTAACTACAGGGTAACGTTTGGTTTCTTTTTATTATTATTATTATTATTATTATTATTATTATTATTATTATTATTATTATTGTTCTTTAATCATGGTAACAAAATGTGGCGTATATGAAAATGCAGAATCATTATCATCATCATCACCATCTCCATTGAACCTATGATCAGTAACAGCCAGATGGATTGGTAATTATGTAAAAATGCAAAATACTATTATTATTATTATTATTATTATTATTATTATTATTATTATTATTATTACTATCGATACCAAAAGTTTTATATTCCTCAGGTGTGTAAACAATTCTACTTTTGTACGCCCAAATGGTATAAAATAAACATTAGTATTTTTTTCTGAGTTAAACTTTTTTTACTGATGTTGTCCAGGTAACTTATGATAGATTTTATACACTGAGGAATTGAAGTTTATTGAATAGATGCAAATGAGATATGTCATTGAAAGTTGTACAGTTATTTCAAGAAGAAAAAACAACAATAGAAGTAATAATATAGGCAAATAAATAAATAATCACACTAATTAATTTCATTTTGTATCATTCGTTTGAAATTTCCCATTGATGTTTAGAACTGCAATTGATCAGTCTCTTATTGGCATATGTGCATCCTGTGCTGATTGCCTCAATATTACCTTAGGTCACAGCCATTATAAGCAGAGATGAATGGTGGCTGGCATTGGAATCCAGGATGTGCATCTCGTCCTAATTGAAACTCTTCGGCTGAATGTATCTGCATCCCAGATTTGAAGAGAACGGTACTGTGTACGAGTCCCGGAGTGAACATCAGCTCTAGGATGCCATTACATCCGGCTGATGAGTCCCAAATAGGACGAGATGCGCATCCTGGGTTCCAATGCCAGCCACCATTCATCTCTGCTTATAATGGTTGTAACCTAAGGTAATATTGAGGCAATCAGCACAGGATGCACATATGCTAATAAGAGACTGATCAATTGCAGTTCTAAACATCATTGGGAAATTTCAAACGAACAATACGAAATGAATTTAATTAGTGTGATTATTTATTTATTTGTTTATATTATTACTTCTATTGTTGTTTTTTCTTCTCGAAATAACTGTACAACTTTCAGTGACATATCTCATTTGCACCTATTCAATAAACTTCAATTTCTCGTTGTATGTAAGGAAATGACTCACAATAATGTAATGTATTGAAATAAGAATAGAGAGGTCAGTCATGTACAAAATATTCGTAATTTAATAAAATTACCACATATTCCTACAAATGATAATAGATGATAGTTTTGCTCCACCACTAATCGGTTGATTTATTTATATATAGACAAGTTTATTGTTATGATGTATTCCAAACATTTAGTTAAGGCTGAGAAGCTTAAATACTTCTAAATGTGATCTTCTTTACAGTCGAGGATATGTATAGTTATAAAGTTTCAAAATGGGCCGTAATACCGGCTGATCATTGGTTTTTAACATTTTTTAGATGATGTAACTCGGTGATAAAGATTAGCATCTAGTAACCAATTAATACTGAAATCATATCGTATTTTCAAAGACCTGAATACAATATTTGTCCTGGATTTCTAGTGATAAGCAGTGACAAATAAAGTTCAACCGTGTCAGTTGTAAGATAGTAACTCACTGATGACAAATGTGGGTGTGTTGCTCAAATTTGTGGATTAGTCGAAGGTAGACATTAACACCATTGGATGCCGGCTCAGTAGTTTGGAGGTCAAACGTTCGTGGGCGAAACTGAAGGCCCTGAGTTCGAATCTCGTGGGGCGGGATCGTGGCTGATCACTGATGAGGAGTTCCATAGTAGGACGAATTGGACGTCCACTGCTTTCAGGTTTTCCATGGTGGTCTAGCTTCAATTAACTTATTATCTCAACTAATGAGATGACTACAATCTCTACAAAACCCCTTCGGATACTCTTAAAATTTACCTACTTATAAGTAGTAAAAGATTTAACAACAAAATGTTTCTCAATATAAAACCATGTAAAGAATTATTTTTATTTATTCATTAGTTATACTATTAATAAACCTAAATTATACATACTGGTTTTCCAATATGGTAATAAGTTAAATATGATAAATATAACGAATTGTCCAATTGGTCATTGACATATTCATTAATGATTTCATATGTTTCAATTGTAATAGATCTAAAATAAGTTCTTTATCTTCTAGTGTTATAGAACATTCAGATGAATAAAATGCAGAAATAATAAATTGATAATTAAAACTTTTTATAATTTGTTGAAATGAATGCTGATTATTAATTGGATCATTTGAAAGGTTCATTTCAAATTGAAGTAATAATGTCCCATGTTGTGATTGTCTATGACAACCTAAATATACCTATTTGAATTAAATGAGGGAAGTGAAACAGTAGGAAAAAAAAGGGAATGAAATGAAGGGTAAATACTATATTATCTATATATAATGTGTTTGATTACAGTTAAGAGATTATTTCACAAAAGGATAATCAATTTGAATCTATATTAAGTATTGGACTAACTTGATTACATATAAATATAGAAAACAAATGTATTAAACTTTATGATATCCACATGTTATAACCTTATAAACGAGTGGGAATTCATTGCTAATATGATATTTTGAAGATTTTCCAATGACTTTGGAGTTAAGTCATTTTATCGATTGATATTAGATAAAGAGTATTTGAAAAACAGAGATTGGTGAATTACTATTGTTTTCGTTGTTATGACACGCTACTACTAGATAGTTACGAACTCACCCTGTGATCAAACCAAAGACATCCAAGTTTCATGGTCAATAGAACATTGTTAAATTGTTCAGTTAGAAATTAATGGTTCATATATATTTCGAATTAAGATATCAGTTACCGTTTTATTCAAATTGATGGAATTTCGTTCTTTGATCTGAATGGTTCAATTATAGAACTTGTACTTTTGAACAAAATTATCAGTATAAACTTTATGATTTGGTTCATTGCATACATTACAATGGTCTGGAGTTATGGAATGAAAATCATTGTATCCTGAATTGATGACTCTAACCATTATACTTGAACGTATTGGATCGATAATATTCAGGAGTCTTATGGAGTAAATCAATTTGACAGTTTACGTTACGTTTATTTTTAATAACCCTCCGACTTATAACATTACTAGTCGAAGTTAATCCCAGTTATTTAAGAGTATTTGCAATCATTACATTGTATCACATCTTAAACAAACTACGCCATTTGAATATACTGTGTGCAGTCATACTTTTTTAGAAAAAATATTAGAAAATTATGTAGAGCCTATTACCTCTGGTTTGCTAATATGACTACTTTGATTAGTACATATTACTTATCATTAATTCGAGTGATTTATACCTATTAGTAGAAAAGAAGTAATAGGTTACTGAAAGTCACTTATTCAGCACAGCATTTATTGATTTAATGAATTGACTACCGGAGGAAATTGAAGGCTTATCAAACATACTGTCTACCAAATCAGTTATACTCTAACTCTATGTTCTCATTATGATTTAGGTTTAGACTTCTACTTCTAGGACTATTCATCACTTAATTCATGTCTGTAGTTCATCTGATTCTTTAATGGCAAGTTATTTATTTGAAGTTTTTTTGAATAAACTAAATACTTACAACAGAGGAAAATGGTTTTCATTAAGGTTTCTGATATGTTTTGAAAGAAATTCCTAGAAATAAAAATCTAGACTTGGAGGGAATGTAATTTTGTTTGTCTTCATATATCTAATATCAAAATATACTCTACTTTCCCATGTTATTTTATTCTATTCTATTTTAAAGTTTAATGAAATAGACTAACTTTGATATTTTTAATCTTCTGTTTATTCAACCATATTTGATAAGTTTCAGGACCTGTGAACAACAAAGTAAAACAAAAGTTACTTTAAACAAGAGACGTTCTCTTATGAACAATAATAAAAGTTATAATGAAAATGTTAAGGATTTTTTTCAAAACTGAAATGTATATTTCATTACTACTATTGTAATGAATGAGAACACAGATAGGGACAACCAAAATAGTCTAATACAAAATTACAGAGTTCTTTAATAAAATATGAAAATCAGTACTTCATTTGAAAATCTTGCATTAATTGTCTCAAACTTCGTTGTTCCTTCATTGCTATAACAACTACTCACTGTTCTCGTTCATTTCGATTCGATCTTCTCAACCTTCTGTTGCCAAGCATCCCATTTCTGATTAATGTTATATACTACTTATATCTGTCGACATAAGTACCACACTACTACTAGTACTAAGCTATGAGGTTATACTAAATATTTAATGATATATTACTTACATATAATAATTTCATTTGATTTATTGTTAATATGCAAATTCCAAATAACAAGTCCATTTACATTAACTGGGTAGAAAGTCTCTGAGATTCTAAAATGTAAATATAACATTTTGAAATGACCGCTAATTGTATATTTTAAAAAAAATGTATTAACAGTACACTAAAAGTAAAATTTATTATTCGTAAAACGAATAAGGAAGAAAGTTCTCTTATTACATCATTTTTCAAAAGATATATAAGTGGTATGCTGTTAAGTGTTCAGAAATGTTTGACAGGAAATCTTATACATAGATTTCGTGTTCATTGGCATTCATCAGTGATATGTATCTAAAATCTTGAGGAAAATGATGTACTTAGGTTGATTTAGACCTATATCGTTCAGTTTCACAGTCCGAAACATACATAATTCCTTGCTGACTGCCTCTAACTACCTCATATCAGTACATATTACGTGAGATATCAAGTCACTTAAATTAGTGACCACATTCTAACTTGATTTCTAGAGTTCAATTAGGATTTAGGTAACTAGGCACATATGACGTTGATCACTGCTTATTGATAGGTCAGTGTAAGTGGTTTTCTTGTAATATTTTGTATGATTATAGAAGTAATTTCATCAAAAGGTATCTGAAAAATTGATTTCACAGCCTGAAATTCCCCCTCTGGAATAAAGAACACAAATCTTCCTGTCAGTTATGATAAATACTTCAGAAATTATAATAAGTTTTGAAACCATATGGGATCAATCTTACTCATAAGCCAACGTAACCAGTTTGTTCTGTTTTGCGCAAACCTAAAGATGCAACACAGAAGTCCGATAACCTATTGAGAAACAGGAAATATAAGATAGCTGGTTCATCTTAGTATGAGATATCCGAGACTTATAGGCTTTGCTCTGCACTTGTAACTTTTGGACTACCGAGTTACCACTCAGTAGTTACCATTTACAACCTCAATCAATTCAAGCCATTGAGTTACCACTATTAATTTACATCAGTGTTATTTATCTCACGTCTTCCATGGTTGAACTTTACTGGTCAAAATTCACATTAAAACTCTGAGACCTAAAGATTTTATGCTTTATCCCTGATGGCATCTTGGATATGTACTGCTAATTAATGATTTTAAACAGGTATAAAGTGAATATTCAGAAATGTTTCGTTTTCAGTAGTTTCCTAGATAATATCACTTCTTGATGTGAATAACATTCAAACTGAAACAGAAAATATCTATGAAAATAGAATAGATCAAATAATAACATATTGGCATAGAATTAAAAATGGGAAGTTAATGAATTAGTGTACTGAACTTAACGGTTTTAATATCCAGATCTGTTAAAGTTCAATCATAAGAAAAGTTATTGGACAACTATTAGAGTAATACAAGTTTTATTATCCTATATTTTTATTTGTATTCAATGTCAGACAAAAATATATAATGTTAATAGATACACTTAAGCTAGTAATGAGACATAATATGAACTACAGCACTGAAATGAATGCACATTCAGCTGATGTACCACATATATGATGAAATAAATAGCCTGGATCCTCACAATCCGCATATTCTGTCATAAAGCAGCCATATTATGACTTACTAATAATCTACTATGTTAATCATCTATTTATCATCCCAAAAAGTTTTAGACTTGTAGATGTGTGTCAAGCTGATGAAAAGTAGCTTATTTAATTCATACTTCAATTGAACAAGAAGCAATGGTTAAAGATTTTGATTGTTTGCACAGGTATCATAATGTTTATTAACTAAACTATTTTGAAATATGTAGACACTTGAAGTAATCGAAACTCTAATAATATATCGTACGAATCATTTGTAAATAGTCTTCTATAATTACGAAATGTAGATTTCAGTTTCAGAAAATCTGAAAAAATGTAATCAACTTTGAGATATGAAGCTAATTAACCCTGATAAAGGGAAGTCCAACTGTTTGTCTTATATATGGATTACTTTGACGCTGAAAAATCTTCATATTAGTAAGAATGATTTGCAGCTATAGTTTACGTAGTCTGATAATCTATATACATTAATCTGTCGTTAAGTAGTAACTAGTCTCATAGTTAATCCCCAACAGTGAATAATTTCCATAGAGAACGTTGGAATATGCTACAACCAGTTCATTTGTGACGAGTCTGACAATCGCAGTGAATGATGTGAGTTCAAATAGAATGAGATGTGTCAATTCCGTCAAGATTGTAGATAAGTCTTGATAAGAAGTGCTAACTATCAGAAAGCTTAGGGCTTCTTGACTACTGTTATCGATTATTCAAAACCTCCGGCATATTTCGTTGTCTAAAAGTTTATTTATTTAAAAAAGGATTCCAACTATCCTTTTAATCAACTTTCTCAGACATATTATATTCATATTACTTGTAAGCAAGTGTCTTCTCCAATACAAAGTGATTCTTAGCAAGACAAATAATTGACAACCTTGCAAAATTCACATATCTCTATCCCCAATGAGTATGTGATCGAAGGTCATAAAGACTTCATTTTGCAAATTCTACGGAACATCAGTCCATTTTGCCATCAAAATGCTCTCTGTTTGTGGCAACACACTTATCATACTTCTTTCTCTATCACATGAAATATCCGTGGTAGTCCTTACGAATCTAAGTCTTCAACAGTTTTGTCGTACCATGTTCTATTGTCTCTCTAAGTCCTTTACTAGAGTTAAGTAACTATATGGTTTCTTAGAATTTCGTTTATCATCAATCAACTAGACAGAAAATAGGCAATCGGAAGGTAAAAGAGACGCGACACGTTTATATTCTCGTCAACACAGGAAGTATATGGTGATCCTGACCTTCAATCGTTCTCACAGAATTCATGCATACAACTGAGACCAATAGTCTATGCTATATTTGTGTAATCAGACTTCAATATCTCATGAATTTCATAGGTCGTTCTTCTGAGTTTCATTGATAATCTGATATGTTACTATTTAGTTCTTGAACATAATTAAACAAATACATACATGAAACAAATTTCATGAATACCTTATTTGTTTTCTGTCAGTATTGGAAACATCTACTATTGAATGATTGATATGAGATTTCAATTCATTTAGATCATGTAAAGCTTGAAAATTATCATTAAAATTGAATGAATCCGAAAGTTTATTATCTTCTAACCATAAAGGATTGGATAATTGTTGAAAATTATCTGATAAATTATATTGATTTTCTTGTTTACATTTTATATCATTATGATTCAATGGTTTATGTGTATGCGCTAGGAGGAGAACAATTCTGGACATAGTCTGTATAATAGAATATTGAAAACCAAAAAGAATCATTTATATGAAGAGCTATAAAATCATTGTATGTTGAAGTAAATCAAGGTAGTTCAATAGACAATCTGATACTAATCAACATATGTTCACTAATGACTGGCTTCAAGAGATATGTCCTGGAGTTCTTCTAGTGAGAAGCAGTGACCAGTGGAGTTCAACCGGGTCAGTTGTGAGGTAGTAACTCACTGATGACAATGGTTGGATGTGTCGTTCAATTTCGTGGATTAGTTGAAGTTAGACATTAACACCGTTGGATGCCGGCTCAGGAGTCTAGTTGGTTAAGCGCCTGGCGCGAGACTGGTAGGTCCTGAACTTGAATCCCACGAGGCGGGGTCGTGGACACGCACTGCTAAGGAGTCCCACAATAGGACGAAACGGCCGTTCAGTGTTCACAGGTTTTCCATGGTGGTCTATCTTCAATTGACTCATGATCTCAACTGTTTAAATCTGAAAACAGTTTTGACTTAAACCATTGAAAATCATGTAACATTGGATATCTAATTTGTTCAAAGTTCCGAACCACTATTCATTAGTGCACGTACACACACACATAACCTAAAAATCTTGGGAATAATATGTTCTTTAAAATATTTAATTGTCATTTCGTAAAGTAAACCCTTAAATTAATTTATTCGTGATATTATTCCATAATCATCCAGTCATACGGTTGTCCCAAGCTAAGATACCTTTATTTTTTTTACAACTATCTGGTTAATGTTGATTATGAACGAAAAATGTCTTCATACTACTCTTATCTCTCCAAATCAGTTACTTGGAAATGGATTTCCAACATGCCATTAAGAAATTGTAGCAGTTGGGGTTTAGTGAGGCTAGAAGTAAACAAGGTACCATCGATTATGATTGATAAATATCATGGTATTTAACGAAATCTCAAGTGATGGAAATTTACGCACTGAATCTCAACTCAATAGTCTATAAATAATGTGGTTACCGTCAAATATAAATGCCCCGTATTCAATCTCACGTGTAGGGTTATAGGTGCCTGTTAGTGAAGGTTCCTAAATTAGGTCTAAACAACTATTCGACTACTTCATAATTTTCAGTATTTTTCTAATTAATATCAGTCAGGGGTTAAGCATATCCTAATATAATAATGGCCACGTTATTATATCAGAAACCACATAATTCTAATATAACTAAAAATGAATTATATGCATTAAAACAGCTGAGAAATGATAAGACAATTATCATTACGAGAGCAGATAAAGGGAACACGACAGTCATTATGAACAAAACGGACTACGAGAAAAAAACCAGGGAACATCTACAAATTGAAGAAACAAGAATTAGGACAACGCTTAATAAACTTAAGGCTGAAACCAGTAAAATCTTACAGTCGTTAAAGGTTGAACTAAAATCGACATTATGGTTCATTTTATAACCAAAGAGTTGTAACCCTTGTAGATTCTATAGACTTCCAAAGATTCACAAGAATAATACTCCACTAAGACCAGTGGTTGATTTTAAAAATTCACCGACGTACAATCTAGCGAAATACTTAGCTAAGATACTTAAACCGTATGACAAACTGATTAATCATGAAATTAAAAACTCTATGGAATTCAAGAATATTATCGATACCATCTATGTAGAAGAGGATGAAATATTGACAAGTTTTGATGTATCTTCCTTATTCACTAATTTACCTGTTAATAGAGCGTTGGATATTATTTATGATTGTTTAGAATCTGACTCAGATATGAATTTACGATGCCTAATAGATCCATCTGAAGTTATTAAATGTTTGGTATTATGCTTAAGATCCACCTTATTTACATTTCGAGGAGACCTTTACAGACAGAAAGAAAGTATGGCAATGGGTTCACCAGTTTCTCCGATTGTAGCGAATTTATTTATGCATTCCCTAGAAACCAGTGCAATCACAAGATGTGTATGCCCACCAATGGTCTGGTTATGGTATGTAGATGACATTTTTATTATCATTAAACGGGATGGCTTAGAAGAATTGTTTGAAAATGTAAACAACATTTCGGAAAGCATTAAGCTAACGAAGGAAGTTAAATCCGTTGACCACAAACTAGCGTTTCGCGATTATTTGGTTGAACGAAGACAATCATAAGAAGTTGAAAATAAATGTATTCAGGAAATCAACACATTCTGAGAGATACTTAGATTATGGTTCGGCTCATGCGCAGTGCACGAAAGTCAATGTTGTAAAAAATTTAATGAACAGAAGTATTAGGCTAGTTACAGGTAAGGAAGACCAACAAGTTGAATGGAATAGAGTATTGTCTACAACTAGGGATAACAACTACCCAAAAGAGTTTTTAAAGAAGATTGTTAGAAATGAAAGAAAAATTAAACTAGAATGTATACTGAAAGGTTGGAAGTCCACAGTGGCCATCCTATACCGTAGTGAAACATCGGAAGAAATCAAGCGGATTCTAAAAAAGCATGATGTAAGAGTGAATTTTCGGGCATGTGACACCATAAGATCAGTATTAGTTGAAGTTAAAGGTAGGTTCCCAAATGAAGAAAAACGAAATATTGTCTATGAGATCGACTGTCATGACTGTAATGCAGCTTATGTGGGAGAAACATCCAAACAATTGAATGTAAGGTTGAAGGAACACAAACAGTGTTTGAAAAATCTTCCCAAATCCTCGGTTGACTTAAAGAAACTTGAGAATAAGTTTGCGATCGCGTTACGTGCATTAGAAACAGGACACAAGATTAATTTTGAAGGGACCAAGATACTTCAGAAAGGCTTTAACACTCATAAAGAAAGATTGACAGCAGAAGCGCTGTATATATGGGCGAACAAGAACAGCCTGAACTGAAAGGATGCTATTCAACTAGCGACTACTTGGCAAATATTCGTTGACAAGTAATTGGACCCTTTCTTTATTCAACCTGTTTATTTCACATGCATCGTTATTTTGACTGAAATTAATCTGAGTTATTTTTAGCAATACGATTATGTATTTGATGATTCTCATTTTACTTGCACTTCAATGATTCAGAAACGACTTTTTCAACCTTCAACTTGCACCTTTATTTCTCCTTCATATAAAAACATTAACACTGAATATTATTCATTATTAATTCAATCTTACACATACATACACACAGATAATTCGTTTTAGTCATTTATTCTCACGTCGTGAACTTTTCACATGATTCTCATTTAACTGACTCATGTTATCCCATTGACTAAAAATCAACATTCAAATATAGTTGGATTAGATTTGATTGTTAAAACTCTATATATTCCTTTGATGATTTTAATTATTATTATTACCCTGAGGAAGTCCAGACAAGTTAACCGGACGAAGAGTTGGAATTATTTTAAAATTCAATTGCCGAGATTATTTCAAATATAATTTTCACATATAATAACTTATTGAGATGACGAACCGATTGTTGTTAGACCACCATTAAAAACCTGGAAGCATTGGACGGCCATTTTGTCCTACATTGGGACTCCTCAGTAGCGCGCATCCACGATCCCTTCCGTGGCCGTCCAGTGAGGGAATTCTCGGAGTTCTAGTGAGAAGCCGTGAACATTAGAGCTAATCCGTGTCGGGTAGAGACAGGTATCTACCTCAGTACAATGGAAGATGGTCGCACAATCTCGTGGATTGGTGGACGTTATACATTAACACCAATGGATGCCAGATCAGTGGTGTAGAGGTAAAGCGTTCGTGTGTGATACTGAAGGTCCTGGGTTCTGATGCATGGTGCGCACTCTTGAGGAGTGCCACAATAGGAGGAAACGACTGTCCAGTGCCTCCAGGTTTTTAATGGTGGTCTAACATCAGTCGTTTTGTGATCTTAATCAAAAACTTAATCTCCACAATCTTATTCTGATATCCCAGCATAGTTGAAAAGTTTACATGGAAATGTATTCCCTTTGTGGGTTGTATTTGTCACAGATTAGATTTAATTGAGGTACATCTGAATAACAGGAATCACTAAACAGTCGTTTGATCCTAGTGTAGAAATCCTCATCGGGAACTGAACATAAGAACTCCAAGTCTCATGGGGGATACTTAGCAATTAAAACTACTGAGTCAGAATTCACTGTTGTAAGAAAAATGAAAGGATACTGTAATTCGAATCATTCCATAGTTGAAGGTTATATAGTATACAGAAAATAAGGGCATTTACAAGGAAATGAATATCTTTGAGGTAGTAGAATCTTATAGAGAACATGTAAAATTGATAAAAAATACTTGACGGTTGGTCAATCGGGATATAAGAAAGTTTAGTTAATCATTATACAGGACTTAGCAGTCACATCATTATAGCAAGATGGTTAGAACTAATTTCTATACCAGTTCTCTAAGAGAAAAATGTCACCTTTTGTTATTCACTAGTTTAATAGCCAAGTATTTATCATAATTCATAGATATTTTATTTTTAGTATTTCTGTAAATTGAAACTTATCCAGGAATTAATCTGAATAACTAATAACTAACCTTTGACAATAGTCACACTACAATCATCTATACTTGAAATAATTACTAATTATGTTTACATTATGGACATTGTACATTGGTTAAATGATTCACAAAGAATAATCAGTCAGCTGATCATTAGTTCTTTCTATAATAAGTAACCTATTGATTTGAGTATTACAATACATCAAGTGAACAAAATTAATTCTTTTTAATAGGCATTATCTTAAATAATTAGATTACTGATTTTGTAGTGAATTACAACACAAGTGGGTATAATCAAATGCATTTGAATACAAAATTACGGAATATCTTAGTAAAATCTGAGAACCATACAGTAAATACTACTGTAGTTGAATTCATGAGTCAACTGAAGCTAGACCACCATGAAAAACGCGAAAGCACTGGACGACTGTTTCATCCTAGTATGGGACTCCTCAGCAGTGCGCACTCACCACCTCGCCTCACGAGATTCGAACCCAGGACCTATCAGTCTCGCGCACGAACACTTAATCTCCAAACCACTGAGCCGGCATCCAGTGTTGTTAATGTGTAAATTCAACTAATCCACAAAATTGAGCGACAGATCCACCACTGTCTTCAGTAGGTTACAATCTCACAACAGACCCGGTTGAACTCCACTGGTCAGTGCTTCTCACTAAAACTCACTAGAACTAATGAACATACGATGATTATTATCAGGAAGAGTTTTGTGTAGATTTTGGTAATTTTATATTTGAATTCGAATCTCGAGGGGCGGCATCGTGAATGCGGACTGCTGATGAGTCCCATACTAGGACGAAACGGCTGTCCAGTGCTTCCAAGTTTTGCATGGTGTTCTAGCTTAAATTGGCTCATGATCTCAACTATTGAGATTATTATAATATCCACAAAACCCCCTTCTGATAAATTTGTAATTTGTTGTTTGTGTAAAAACATCTATGCCAGTTCTGATCTAGATTCATCAATCTATGCAATGTTATAAGATTAAATTACACTATTTATCTGATCAAACTGTAATAATAGAGTAATGGTCTTAAAGTTACAGTTTAATGTCTAAAAATTATACGTTTAAATCGTATTAAGTGAAAGGAATTCATGATACATACGTCGAAGAGAATTACAACATCCATGTGGTCAAAGTCAATGATTCTAAAGTTGGTACATCGTTGCACAAAAGTCAGCAACATTCAATAGTTCAGTCTCAAGACTTTCTGTGAGAATGTAACTAAAATCTTTGCAATTTTTGCTGTGAGCATGATCCCAGTGAGGCAATGATATGTATATTAATCGCCCACATTTCTAACTTCACTCATTAATTTATAATATAGAATGCTCTGAAGTGAATCTCTTTAGGGCCACTGTAGGTATTTTTTGTGAAAAGATTTAAACAGACACTTAAGTCCTAAAGATTAACTTGAAGAACTTGAAGTCAAGAAACTTACATATTCCTCTGCAACAATGTATACGATCGAGGGTGGGGAGAGTTCCCTCTCTATTTCGAACCGCTCTAATGTGGTCAGGCGTACACAGCCACAGCCAGTGGAGTTCTACTCACTGCCCTCCCATAGTGAGAGATGATTTACGAAACTGAGAGAACGAAAATCCAATACCCGGCGTTTGAACTAAGTTGGTGGGTACGGAGGATCCACCTATGGGAGTTGGGATACCTTGATTCCAAAAAAACGAATATGAACCACGGAATCCGAAGGGAACAAATGGCGTATGAACCTATTGTTGGTCACCAGCTACCATGGGACTGAATCTCCTAACGTCAGTTCACTGTATTGCGGATTAGATCTCTAGGTCGAAGGGTCGGCTTGAGCTCCAGGGTAGTTTCCTGGTTCACATACAAACTAAATGATGAGTACAATTAAAAATTCTACTCATGTTTTAATTCCGATTCTCGCAAATCATACTCAAAACTACTTGTTAATACTCGTATTTATTTTACATTGCATCACTTGTTTATTCTCTTTTATCCCCACTTTTTATATTTACTTATTCTTCAACTCCTACAGTAGCTCGCTTATGATAGAAACCCTGTCCAATCTAAACGATCTCAAGTCACTGAACGATCGAAAGTTGAATGCTACCACCGAATACGGATTATGAATCAGCCTTTCTGAAACCGCGTATTTTATTCAAACTGACCTCCTTCAACGTTCACGCACAAATGCAGATTGGAAAACATATCGGGTTGGTTGTCTTTAGAAAGTCTTAATATCGATGATTGTTGTCCATCCAAGACCCGTATTCAAGACTTAAGTGGAGTATTGCGAATTCTCTTTCCATCTATCGCTTCAAAAAGCTTGTTTCCGTTCATTTATCTGGGGACCCTGCAGCATTTCTGTCTGGTTATTCTGGCGTTGGTGCCACTCTAAGCGCTAGAGCTGAGGCTGCACTGATCGATCGGATCTTTATTAACAGTTGGTTATGTGCTGTAAGATTAGAATGTTTCATCAAAGTAACAAGAAATAGGTGTGAGAAACGATTTCTCTCCATTTTCTCCGTCTATACTCCAACACATCACAGCCCAGATGCGATCAAGGATGAGATTTACCACCAGTTAACTGTTTTTCTCCAGAAGGTGCGTTCGACAGATATTGTAGTACTAACCAAAGACTGGAATGCACATGTCAGATGACGGTGATTATCAACTGAAACTGCGAGCAGTCTGCATCCTGTTTACGGCTTGCACTAATTATCAGCACAGTTATCAATAATGTGTTACCTGGCATCCTCCTCTTGGATCTCAAACTTGGGCTGTTCTCTGGGATTGTCTATTGGAAAAGGGTGTGTCTGAGAAGTTTATTAACACCCTAAAAGCCTTATATACAAACACCTCAGGCAGAGTGAGGGCATACAACCACCTCTCTCCATTGTCCCATTTGAGCAGTGGGGTTAGACAGGGTTGCCCAATCTCACCATTCCTCTTCAACTTTGCCATCGATTACATTCTGGAAACAGCTCTGATGGATGTAAGTAATGGAATGTGGATCTGTTACCTGGAGAAAGACTTACTGACCTTGAGTATGTGGATGATATTGTCTTACTGTGAGATGATACTCATCTCATGAAATCCGCACTTAACCAGTTAGCAATCAGTGTCCGTAGACATGGAATGTGCTTTGCATCTTCCAAGTACAAAGTGCTTTTACGAGACCGGCAGGACCACGAACACGCGCTCACTCCTTGCAGTGAGCAAACAGAAGTAGTCGAGAAGTTCGTGTATCTGGGTAGCTGAATAAGTGCTGGTGATGCCGTGAGTGGTGAGATCAGTTCACATATAGTGAAAACTAGAGAGGCTTATACCAATCTGGGCCATCTTTGGCGCCTTCGTGATGTTAGTCTGGCAGTAAAAGGTCGGATCTATGCTTGTGAAACCTGGCCTCTTCGAGTTGACGATGTGAGACGACTCTCTGTGTTTGATCATCGTTGTGTCTGTAGGATTGTTGACATTAAGTGGCAACATCATGCTAGTAATGCAGAGGTTCGGTATCTTGTGTTCGGGTGCAGATAAGATAATTCATTTAGTGTCACTATCTTGAAATATCGACTTCGGTGGCTTGGACATGTTCTACGAACGTCGTCTCAGCGAATTCCGCGTCGTGCATTATTTACTGACGCTGGGACTAGTTGGAAAACGTCGAGGGGTGGTCAGTGTATGACATGGTGTCATGGTATGAAAGAAAGCTATTGGTCCTTCATGGCTCCCTAGTTAGGATCCTAGAGGTGGTAAAACACAGTGGCTTGAGATTTTATCAGGTATTGCTCAGAACAGAAGCCAATGGCGCTTTTGCTGCAACTTTCTTTTACTTTCTTCATAATAATTTCCATTCATTTGGTTTTTTTTTATTATCTTCACCTTCCTCTATCGATCTCTTTATAACTTCATTTTTATTGTGGAGCCTATATATTTTCTTTCCCACTTGTCCAATGTTTATGCGTTCAAATAATAATAATATTCAAACTTCGTGACAGTCACAAATTATTTATCTAAATAAGTAGACTGTCATGATTTTCGTAAATATACTTTAGGGATATCGACCGTTCAAACCACATATTCATTTAGATTTTAGCACTGAAGGTTCCTTGAGATTTTTCATTCCGAAATTAGTATATATTACGGGGAAATAAAGGGAACAGCGAACAGGAGTGGATAATAACAACTCTCCATCAATAATTGATATTCGAGCTCTTAGAATTATCAGTGAACCCAAGCTTAACCATTTGAAGGTTTATGTTAGGATGAAACGAATGTTGAACGTCACATGGTTTTCGAATGTTGTGCCATATCTGGTACTTAAACACTTGATACTGGTCTAACTGCTTCTCTGTTCTGCAGAAATCTTCCAAATTACAGTCTTATACAGAAGACAATGGGTGGGGAATATAAAAAAATATGCCTTGCTTCCAATATCATTTTAGGGATAGAAGACAAGAATATTTATAAGTTTACGTGCGGCCTCAATATTTTAGAACTTTCTGGAAATACTAAAAAATCAGTAATAAAATCGGTAAGTTTTCGATCAAGATTTAACACACAATTCATTGTTTTTTAAGCGTTCTGTAAAGTTTATAACAAATGATGATTTGATAATGTATTTTCACCCTTAACTCTCGAAAACGTTTTCCAGATACTGTCATGAGCTGCGAACAGGTTGTCTACCTGAAGTGAATCCATGATTATCCTTATTATCCTCATTTAATTAGACACAACGGATAGTACTAAAGCAAATAGGTGGTCAACTAAGGATATTCAAATTCATTTGGTATTGCACGTTTTAATCTTTCCATTGATGTTTAGGATTTCAATTGGTCAGTTTCTTATTGGTATACATGTATCCTGTGTGTATTGCCTCGATATCGCTTTAAGTCACAAGCATTATAAGAAAAGATGAATGGTGGTTAGTAGCGGAATCCAGGAAGCGCGTCTCGTCCCTCTTGGGACTCGTCAGCTCGAGAGACTGACCAGTCACAGTCCTAAACATCAATGGAAAGATTCAAGTTAACAATATCAAATGAATTTAAACTTCACCCGATTGCACAAGCGAATGGCTACTACAACTCAGTAGCTAAGTGGATAGCGCGATCACGTTTGAAGCGAATGGTACTGGGTTGGAGCTATGGAGTGAATACTAACTCTAGGATGCATGTAAACCCAGATGACGGCTCCTGAATAGGGCGGAACGCTCGTCCAGGATCCCACTAGCTACCGTTTATCTTTGCTAAAAACGATATTCGAATTTTTGTGTTACACAAAAATGCATTAAATTATATTTTCATAGTTGACACTAATTATTATTTAACAGTTTACAGAATTGATTTTTCTAGTACTCCGCAATCGATTGAACGCAATCATAATAATAATAACTAAAACACATGACATACTTATCAATTAAACACGCTATCATAATCAGTAAAGATCAACATTGCAATCCTATTCATTTGCCATTTTTGACAAAACATAAAGTGCTTATTAAAGCTTAAACTAATGGTTCATTAGCATATGCACAGATTGCGCTATAGTTTAAATAATAGTAATTTTTAAAGAGCTAGTATGATAGGAAATAATGTTTATAACAGCTAGACAGTGGGTGTAGAATCAATGAGAGTCAAAATAATCTTGGATAACTGCTTGAATTTAGTTTAAGATTACCAGTCAGAAGTGCTAAACTACCACCTTATACAGTTGGAATATAACATCGTTTTTTAGGTAACATAACGTTCGAGACATTGAATCTGAATCTAATGGTTTACTTCCTCAAATTCATTCCGTGATATTTTTGAGTAACGAGTTCAATTCAAACTTCTTTAACTCCACAAATTAGTTTTTTCTCTATTGGAACTTCGAAATACTCATCTTTTAAAGTTAATTAATAGGATGACATAACTGTTCAGTGCATTTCGGTTCACAACAGTTTTTTAATTAAGATCAGTCAGTGATGAAAATCACCATTCAAGATGTACATCTATTGGAAATTGTTTAACAGATAAGAATTTTTCGAAACAAACATCTGACTTCAATCAATCCAGAATATTGTGTGGTAGGTAGATGCTTCATACTCGGCATGGTTGAGCTCAAGTGGCCACGGTTTCTCACTAGGCAGATTAAGTACTTACAACGAGACAGAAGGTCTTGGGTTTAATCCCCAATGAGATCACGAGTGCGCAATTCTTAGGGATCCTACACTAAAACGGAACAGCTGTTTAGTGCATCCTAGTTTTCAATGGTTACTTGAATAAGGTCAATCCATGGTGTAAACGATGGAAATTCAACAGTCTCCACAAATCCCCCTATCCAAACAGAAAACACACACTCAATCACATTGAACAATCAATTCGTTTGTTGATTCATGATTATGTAATAATTAAAATAAAGTAATTAACAAGTGAATTAAAGGTGACTATTTTTATAGGTTTGCCTATAGAAATTAAAGTGATGAGATATTAACGAGGTATTTCTATTTGGATCAACTTTTATACATCATAGAGATATAGAATGTATATTTAAGCTAAACCATAAATTACAAATGTTGGTTTTCATTAATTACAAATTGAATTCATATTTGAAATATAAACTAATGTAATTGAAATATGACTAAGTTTTTTTTTAAAGAAACAAACAAAAACTCACTTGAGTTCACAAATAAAAACGGTTTTCTTTTCGTATATATTATCAGTTATTGTTGTTAATAATTATATAATAAAACTTTCAAGGTCACTGTTAATTAATGCTATATTCTGATTGGTAAATCAAGTCATGAGATTAAATGATAGTTGAATATTGATGGTTTGAAAACATGATGTACAGTATCTATCTATCTATCTATCTATCTATCTATCTATCTATCTATCTATCTATCTATCTATCTATCTATCTATCTATCTATCTATCTATCTATCTATCTATCTATCTATCTATCTATCTATCTATCTATCTATCTATCTATCTATCTATCTATCTATCTATCTATCTATCTATCTATCTATCTATCTATCTATCTATCTATCTATCTATCTATCTATCTATCTATCTATCTATCTATCTATCTATCTATCTATCTATCTATCTATCTATCTATCTATCTATCTATCTATCTATCTATCTATCTATCTATCTATCTATCTATCTATCTATCTACCTATCTATCTATCTATCTATCTATCTATCTATCTATCTATCTATCTATCTATCTATCTATCTATCTATCTATCTATCTATCTATCTATCTGTCTGTCTGTCTATCTATCTATCTATCTATCTATCTATCTATCTATCTATCTATCTATCTATCTATCTATCTATCTATCTATCTATCTATCTGTCTATCTATCTATCTGTCTATCTATCTATCTATCTATCTATCTATCTATCTATCTATCTATCTATCTATCTATCTATCTATCTATCTATCTATCTATCTATCTATCTATCTAATGATAAGGGTTAAATCCAAACTGACTATACATTTAATCTTCATTGTACTATCGATACAAATAAATAATCAGTTGAAAGTGAGATGGGATTGTGTTATAGAGTTGAGTCAATCTGAATCATGAACATAACTTTCGGATCCCTATGTGAAATTCATAAAAAATTAAATCATATAGTCATTGCAGTAAAAACAACTGTTTATTTTCCAGAGTGTTTAGGATTATTAGATAACGTTCTATTGATTATTGAGTAAAATTGACAGGGTAAAACATATTATATCTTTACTTCATTTTATGTAAATCGCACGTAATATACAAATTAATGAATCTTTATTTCAATTTACTTGATACATATAATATATTCTTGAAGAAATCAGTTTATCAGTTATTCATCAAATACAAATCAAACTGGTGAATTAGGAATGTTAAAACAGATTTGAATAAGAATAAAGAGAATTCAGTAAAGAAAAGTTTCTTTTCGACGACATCATTTACTTAAGCTGTACATTCTTATTTATAATTAAATGCCTATAGAAGGATAGAAAAGATTGCATCATAAAGTGATTCCGGACTCTAAATATTAAATGAGGTTGTGTAATAATCAAGGGCTAAGAGAAGAATATAACGATGGAAATAATTTACAGGTTTGAATTATGAGAGGTAATTGTCCAATTGACAGATTAATATTTCCACATATAGCTTCTTCATACTGTTGTCTTATCATTCGGTTCCACTAACTCTTAGGTGATTCTGTCAATGGAGAGTTTGTAGACGAGGATAAGGTTCTACATAACTATTTATGAATACAGGAAGAAATCAAGGAAGGTACTAGTTCGTGTGAATATATCCACATTTAGATAAACAAAGTTAAGCAGAGACATTTCTACAATATTAAGATGGAGAAATTAATATCGTACTTTGAATAACTGATTAACTTTCTACGACCAAAATACGCTTACATGTCCCTCATTACTCATGTTATAAAATATTTTTGATTTGCACAAGATTTTAGTTGATTATTTGAATGGTATCTTTAAAATCATAAGGTCAGTTCAATAATAATACTTACCATGTGCTCACTAGTGACTAGCTTCGTGAGGGAATTCTCGAAGTTCTAGTGAGAAGCCGTGAACAGTGGAGCTAATCCATGTCAAGAAGACACAGGTATATACCTCAGTAAAATGATAGGCCGTTGCGTGACTTCGTGAGTTGGTTGAGGTTAGACATTAACACCGTTGAATGCCAACTTAGTGGTCTAGAGATTAAGTGTTCGCACGTGAAATCGACACGTCTCGGGTTCGATTCCCGGGTGTGGGGTTGTGGATACGCACCTACTGTCCAGTACCTTCAGGTTTTCAGTGGTGGTGTAACATCAATCGGTTCATGATCTCAATTAAAAACTTTATAATCTTTCTAACCTTATACTGATCAAAGTTTGCTGTTGATTCATTCATATTTTATAGTTAAACGGAAAGTGAGTTACTCAAGATATCTGTTCCAATTTTGGACAATATCAAATATATTTGAATTGAATAAAACAAAAATCAGGAAAGAGTTCAATTGACTTTGTACAATTTTATACATGATGTTAGATTTGAATCACTCAGTGGTAATTATATATATATATATATATATATATATATATATATATATATATATCCGTAATGTTTGCTAAGATATTACAAAGGTTCTGTTTTTCATGTTTATTTTTTGTTTTTGTTTAACTAAGTATTTCACATTAAAAAAATTGGTACACTTAACTATAATACAAAGACTTTTGATTATACTGAAAGTTAAAAAAATGAATGAAAATGAGTTTATTATCAGAAAGGTCTTTGTGGAGATTTTAGTAATTTTAATAGTGCAGTTCACGAGTCAATTAAAGCTAGATCATCATGGAAAACCTGGAAGCACTGGATGACTGTTTTGTCCTAGTACAGGACTCCTCAACAGTGTGTATCGACGAAAATGGTTCATTTATTGTTCAAACAGTGATTAGTTAGTAACATATGTAATCAAATCATTAGACCAATCTCGACGGAACCTCGCCAACTAAATATTTTGATATCATGAAAGTTATAGATATTAATTACAGAAATCCGAATATTTATAATATTATGAGTAGAAATAAAAGATCATTGATCATCTTCTGATCATTACGTTCACATATTTGATCAACTGTATATCATCTCATAAGTCAAACCAGTTTTGTTAAATATTTTTGTCAGTATAGGGTTATGGAGATTGGTTGAGGTTAGACATTAACACCATTGAATGCCAACTCAGTGGTCTAGAGGCTAAGCATTTTCTTACGAGACCGAATGCCATGGGTTTGAATCCCGCAATTGAGATCGTGGATGCACACTGCTGAAGAATCCCTCACTAAAACGAAACGGCCATCCAGTACTCCCAGTTTTTCAATGGTAGTCTAACATTCATCGGTTCATGATCTCAATCAAAAATATTTTTGTATTTAAATACTAGTTCATGTCTTTAACATCTTTCACTTGCTTAGCGATTTTGTCTTTGTGAATCTATACAATCAGGGATTCAGATACAATTTCATAAGCTGATAATTTAAAACAATTACTTTTGACAAGTTAATATTTACTTTGGTTTACGTTTAGTGTTGAATGACTGATAGTTCATGTACCATATCAGTGCCTATTATTTACAGTTTATTTTATTCACTTTCATGTAACAAAACTAATAGAATGTTTTTATTATATCTGTTATTAATTTGATAATATTTCATATCGTTAACATTACAATTATTATTGTTATAACCAATTACATAATACCAATTTCAATAACTTACATTAATTAGCACATTAGCATTTGGATAGTTTTATATGTATATGTAATACGTGTTTATTTTGTAGTGCACTCATAGTTCATAGTTTACGAAATGAACTGTCCTTACTTAGATAACAATTGAAAATCGATGAGCGCTTAACATTCAAAACAACTTTAAGATATAAAAGTCTTGGGTTTGATCCCAGGTTTGGTCTCGGATGCTTATGGAAAGCTGTTTAAAAAACGATGCGTACTCATTAAAATTTATTGAGGAATATGCAAAACATGAAAAAAACCCCAAATAAACTACAACAAACAAAAAGCCTATTTATATTCAAAGGCGATGATGTCACAGAGTCAATCGATATGAGACTAAAAACTGTATTGGGAAGAACTTATCCTGCAGCTAAGCTGATTGTCCTATCCAAAACAACATGTTCTTGAACACACTCAAAGGTCGACAGGTAGCCCTTTCATGTTACTACCAACTGTGTAAACAAATTTACATGTATCTACCAAAGCAGTTACATTGATAGAACAGAAAGAAGAGCTTACGTCCAATTCAAAGAACATATTCCGAAAAATCTAAGGTCAAATGGACTAAAATCGTTCAGCAGTGCCATCTCGAGACACCCGCTTGGTATAGGATATCAATTAGATAAACTGAAGTCTTTCAAGTTGATTAATGAACAATGGGACTCCAATCTTCTGAAATTTTCTGAAGCTATGGCGATCAAACGTCTAAAGCCAGATCTATATGTTCAAAAAGAAGCAGTAGTAAATTTTTCCAGGCCACGGTAGCATTATATCCTTTCTATTGCATCATCCAACCCTTTCTAAAGTTTTGATTGCATCACTGTCATTTTTCTGTAACTTATAATTGACTGATTTCAACTTATATGTTTCTTTCTCACCATCAATCTGTTTTCACTTAGTTTATTACATAACCATCTAATGTTTATTGACACTAGTCCAATGTTCTGGAACTGTCCCTCTCAAACTTTATTTATCCAAAATAAAAAAATCTTCATGTTCTCATTAACTCAACTGAAATATTCGTTACATCATGACACATATCTCTGATCACCTTCATATTTATAAGTACGCTAATGTCACTAATAACCTTGATATTTAAAATATTATTCATTTATTTATTTAAACACATAAACATTGGTACAAGGAGGCAACAAATAAATATGGGCTACATAAAGCATTCGATTGGTGTGAGGGCTGGGATACTACCCGGATGCCCAAACCGAGGTAGGTGGTTTTCTTAGGAGGCCACATCCGGAGCCTTCGACCTGAAGGTGTGATCCACAAGGCAGTAGAGCAACGCCAGGAGATGCAGTTCCATGTTAACCGGTGACCAATTATTGGCTCATATGCCATTTGTCCCTTCAGAATACTGGAGCCCGTGTGCACCACTGGTTTGGAACCATGGTTTTCCAA